GCTGTGTAAATCATGGAAATTTTTTCCCAAACATATTGCAAATCCTTCGCTTAAGCAACTCTGACGTCGAGAAGTACAAGTTACGTCACTGCTTAAGCAGTCAGATGCGACGGAGAACAATAGCATTACAGCGCTAAACAGCGAAGGAATTATCCATTCCAAAAACAATCGTTTCGAAAGGAGGAGGCTGGCAGAATCTGAAATTTTACCCAAAGTTTCTTCATGTAGAGATAATAATGCCTAGTATGCATCACGTTATGTTTGGAAATTTGCTTGTATTATGATTGTTACATACTTTTAGAATCATTTTATGTAAAATTAAATGGATGCATGTCATAAAGATGGGTAAAAACTACTTGCCAATACATCAAATTATCCGCAGAGGCAAAGATTTATTTCAGAAATGAACAAAAATGAAGTGAAAGCTGTACTAGGAGTAAGGAAATATGGCAGATTAGGCTGGCGTCTAAGTTAGGAAGGTTTACGGTTCAGGTATTTGTTACTGAGAGCAAAGCACCTTCTAGAGACTAAACCAGGGTATCATGTGAACCCAAAAACCAAAACCTAACCTCTCCTTCCTTCTATTTATTCCCTAGAAAGGGGGGCAGCCCCCTGTACCCCCCTTTATTAGCACTTCACTCAAACTTCTAGGAAACAGACATTAACCATTAGCTGCTGGGTGGCACGTACATACGTGCCATGGCTGTTGTGGACTGAAAAATGGATGGCATCATATCATGACATATCATGGCTTGTCGCTTCATTTATATGGTAAAGATTTAGGCAGTAGCACCAATAATGAAGGTAAACCTTCAAAATTTTAGTATTTTTGTAAAATAGCAAAATACAAGCTTTTAGATGCCAAATGTTGCTTGCAAACTACCGAACGAGCCAGGCGCAAACAAGGGAAACTGCTGATGCACGCCAACAATCCTATTATGATGTCCACTTGCCAAACATTTTTACCCGGCAGCATTGGGTTAAGAACTCTGGATGTGTGAGGGACTTTGTCTCTGAGTGGGGACATGCAGTGAATGTTTTTCTTTACCTCGTAAAGGATTTTGTGCTTCATCGAGTGTATCACAGTTTCTTAATATGAATGTTGGGTCATAGAGAGGTGTGATCACTCAATAAACAATGCCCAAAGTTGATAGATATTAACAGCATTAGAAAAAAGGAATGGCAAAATTGAGTTGGACACACTCATTACTCTAGAGTAACCAAATTGAATGTAACAAATTTCATTAAAGAACTACATCAGACAGCATATGTATCTGGCAGTGATGGGTTTATTATCACTTCCTTTTTTGTGTGTGTTTTGTGGATGGACAACAAAACTACAGTTGTATAAGGTGGAGAATAAACTGGTTCCTCATTTGATCAACAATAAGAAAAGTCTGTAAGCTCCTCCCCTACCACAGTGACATGTCTGTTACTGAAGTGAAAAGGTCTTGTCAAGACAAGGAGTCGGTGGCTGACTGACATTTGTATTAAATGTTTACCTAAAGATTTATATGCATTTTCTAAATAATCTTGCTAAAGGTGGTTTCCAAAGACTTACTAGTAGTTTGGTTAGTGCTTGTGAACACAAATGGATGAATGGTGTCTGTAGGGTAAAGAGTTGCTTTTTGACTCCTGACAGTTGACTGGCCACTGTAGGGACATATCTGGCAAGAGGGTTGCTGCACAGCACCACTGCTTTGATAGGTTAGCGTACTTTTCCTTGCCATATAGTTTTACAAATAATTATTTAAAGAAACTGTATTAAGAAAATTTGATAAAGTTGATAAACTTCTGACTACAGGAACACTTGATACATCATAATTGAGGTAACTCAGTCTTTCTTCTACACTGTGGTTTCCCTTACTCTGTTTCTTGTGTTCTATTAGATGGTGGTGTCCATTTCCATTTATTTCCACTCTTACTTTTTAAAAAACAATCAGGTTTCTTATCAGTTTTTTACTTTATTTTTTTGCTTTTATGTATTTCCAAAATATTTGTCAAAATGCGCCAAAAGAGCCCACAATTGCAAAATGCCTTTGCATTCACTTGGACACGTGAACAATTTGACAGTTTACCTGATAAAACGGAGGTAGTTTGCTTTGCCTAATGGCCCATTTGTAAACAACCTAAATGTCTACCACTGGGAGCCTTAAAGATATATATGTCAGAACTGCAACATGTTTCCTCCTCCTTCAAAATTTTCACATGAGTGGTTGACTGTGCTTGTTGCATGTCATGTGTGTTTGCTCTTGGATATACACATTTGTACAATGCAGACTTTCCAGAGTGCATTAGGAAATGGATAGGCTCTGACACTTCCATGAAAATGTGACTGCAACTTGTGATAATACCTCTCTGGCTCATTCACCAGCTGTGAATACCAAAATTTGGTATTTTGATTCAGATGTGTTGTACATCTTGTAATGTTCAATACTTCAGGCTAGTTAAAAAGGTAAAGGGTTGGTGTGAAGCTATTTAGATCATTATTTGATGATGATTAGTTCATAGTGTTGAATTGATAAGTTGGATTCATACAGGTTAGTGTATATTTCTTTTAGAAACTTAATGTAATTAATGCATGCTATATTGGTAAGACTATTTGGTAATTTTTTGTGGTTATTAGTGATTAGATGTATAGATGGTTTACTTGCTAGTTAATCTTTATGGTATGGGTGCACTAAGTTAGGGCAAGTTGAATATGATATTCTTTTAAAAGACAAAACGTTGCAGTAGTTGGTACAAGAAATAATCTGCACACACAAATGGTAACTCTACAAATAAAAGAAAAAGATCGTGGAAAGTGCCACTGTCAGCCTAAGTCTACTCAGTGCTCTTGAGTTTCAGCTCTATCTTGCTGTGCACACTAAGGTGAAGACTATTTTTCCTGCGGTGAGTTGGGGCACACACCGTCACGGCAACTTTGATTGATGAGTAAATTTTTTGACATAGAGTTGGTGAGAGTGTCCATACTGTGAAGAATAACCTAATTGATTTATGCAAATGGAAATGGAATTCAAGAGATCCTGGCATAGGACACGAGTATTTTTGCAAGTAGAATGATAGAAAGTGAAACATGTTTGGAGCTTTACAAGTACATTCACCAAACATATCCTGTATTGAACTGAAGACCCCCCCCCCCCCCCTTTCATGATACTGTTTCTGAAGTATCGTGTGTAAGGCAGACTAGCCAAATCATGCTAGTTCTTCACTTGATTCTAGACTACGAGCTTTGTGATGCATTTCTAGATAAATATCATTTTAATATTTTATCCCCTTCATGTCTGAATGTAACATGTTAAACATTGGAAGTTCTAAAGAGAGTATTCCATATCTGCTCAAGATGATAACGGCATATAACCCTAAAAAGCACAAACCCTCCAACCTGACTGTCCCCCTAACTGAAAAAAAGGCATGACCTTTCAGGTTTCATCAAGGCAATTTTTGGATGCAGGCTTTTAAAGAACTCAATAAATACTTGAAAATTTGCATTTTATTGTTGTATCTCAAATATTTGTCATTAGAGTACAACATTAGAAAATTTAACTTCATTATGCCTTGCAAATGAATAAAAATTGAAAGTAGTTTACTATTAATTTCCAAGTAAAATATTCATTAAAGATGTATTAATGAGTACCTTGATGTATAAATATTCAGATCTTTAAAGATGTATTAATGAGTATTTTTATATATAGATAGTCAGATCTATATAACATAAGGGTGTGTGAAGGGGGGAGTAGGGGAAATGGAAAGTACTTCAGGTTCGGCTGGATGAAATGTGCCATACATTACCTGAATTTCTATTTCAATTCAGTGTTACGTACCAAATAATTGTAAGAGTTATGGAATCAGAGGGATGCTCCACATGGCTAATTTAAACTTCAGGGGCTTCATGGATGAGTTAGAACAGTCTTCTGTACCTGACACTGGTTTTGTAAAGATCACATGGCTAGTAGATATATTTGTAAGGTTGTTCACCCAGGTGTTGATAGTTTTTATATTAGTATTTTATTTATTATTATTATTGTTATGATTATTAGTATTTTATTTATTTTTTAAGCTGCTTATACTAGTATAGGATGTGTGTTTTAGTGGAATGCAAATTTGAATTATTTTTGTGGCTTTACATACTTCGATTTTTTGTTTTTCTAAAAAGGTATGATTGCTCTACTTCAATATCTTTTTTTCTTTCTCTCACTGTATCTATATCTACTTGTATGAAAAAGCTCCTTTGAAAATATATGCCTTTGAACTTTTCTCAAGTAGCAGAGTTTGTCTTGACCTAGATCTGCAGTTCAATCTTGAAACAGCAAAATGGTTAATTGCTGTGTATAAGCCTCTTGTGTATGTGGATCAGAGGTGAACACAAGCCTTAAACATTAACTAAAAACAAGATTGAAAGGTGTAAAAAAAAATTATAAGATTCATTATCTTCTAAACTTCCCCCTGACTCTGTTTTTAGTTTGACATCATTGATGTGGATATTGAGTATATATCACGTTTGTTCCCTTGAAAACTTTATTTATCATTCAGATGTGGCCATGAATCTGTACACAGATACATTTGTATTTAAGTTCAAGGTGCTCGTGCTACAACTTACTTTTAACATAATTTAACCCAGTCACGCCGGGGTACATTTTGTAGACCAAATTAAAAAAATCCGGGAAGCTACAAAATCGGCGGGCGGAGCTTCCCCGGAGTCTGTCCGCCCGCCGCGCCCGCCGCTTTTGCCGCAGAGCACGGCTCCGAGACAGCATCGGACTGGCGGGCAGGCCGAAACTGTTAATTTTTTCCTTGTGTCTCATATATGTGACACCCGGGATGGATGGGTTAAGTGACTTACTTTTACAAAACGGTTTTCTGAAAGTACTGAGGAACAGATCTGATACCTCTTATGCTTGATATTTAAACTCATGTGGAGCTTCATGTGTTGTCTGACAAAAAGAAAAGTTTACACTTATTCACCAGCTGCATGGTAAGATTGCCAAATGTAAGCTGGCATGCAGCCATGGTTGTCTGGAGTATATTCAAAGGTTGCTAATAATAGGTCATCCAAGGAATATGCAAGTTGATTCTTGAGATGAGATGTATTGATTTATAAAGTTCATAATTAGTCTGTTTTATGAGACTGTGATGTAAACAAATGAGATGTATTTTGATCTATAATTTTTTGTATAATTTCTTTTTAGATTTGTTTTTGAATAAAAATGCATTTTAGTTATGGTACTAGCTTTGATCATATGATATCTGCTGAAAAAAAGAAATGCTTGTTAAGTTTGATAAGGATTTTATTTTATTTTCTAATTCCTAATGAAATGTATATTGTCTGTAAAAAACTAATTTTTTTTTCTCTCCTTTTTCAGTGCTGCTGCCAATGCGGCAGCAGCTTATCAAACTGGACAGACCGGCTACCCAGTTGGTCACACTCCTACTGGCACCCAGCGTGCAGCAGGGTCAACTTATGACACTGGGTACCAGACTGCAGCAGCAGCAGCAGCAGCAACCCACTCCACAGCAGCGGGTACCTACCCAAGTGGTGCCGCCTCAACCACTTATGACTATGGTTATGGCCGAACCACACAGACAGCAGCTGCTGCAGCTGCTGCAGCCTATGACTCTACCAAGACTTACTACGCACAACCATCAACTGCAACCGCTTACACTGCTGCCGACACACATTACCAAAGTAAGACAATGGCATATGTACAATTAATATGATTATGCTTACATTGATTATATTTGTAATACTTTTGTTCATACATTGTTTATATGTATTTGTATATATGGAAATATAGTAAAAAGTCCTGCATAAAGTATCAGTTATTTGTGTAGCTATGATATTTTCACATACACATGTATGTCTGTATGTATATCACCCACACATTTAACTTAAATATTTTATGCAGGATGGTCAGATTTCTAAAACTTTATAGCATCAGTTGTACCAAGGTCTGATTGTGATAGTAATGCTTACTTAGTCAGATATGTTAATTTCTGATGCTATAAAGAGTTTGGAAAGTGTTGATTGAAATATATTTTAGGTTTAAAAAAAAATGTCCAAAAAGGGTGGGATCATGAAAGACCTTAGATGTTTTGTCTGCAGACAAAGCTGCTTATACAAATACCAGTGCGTATACAACTACTTCGCGGCAAACTACTCCAGTGGCTACCCCAAAGACAAGCTATGCTGGAGCATATCCTGGAGCTGCTGCAGCTGCTGCCACAGCCACCTACAACACCTCTGCATATGCAGCACAAACTACTACCACCAATAAAGGTGACTTATATGATTTAGTAGGTATGGCATGTATTAAAGCTTTTTTTTTTCCCCCCTCCTTGTAACTCCATGGCTCTCCACACATCTCACACAAGTGGTTGTTGGTCCTTTCTCTTGTTTGTTTTGCAGTGTTTAGAAACATATACAGCTACTTAAATGTTTATTGATTTATTTTCATTTTATACAGTATCCTTACTGCATCAGAAAAAAAAGTCAGGATGTACTCAGTTCTCCAAAGTTTGAAATGATTAGACTAGAAGTGCATGGTTATAAAGTTAGAAAAGCATTTAGATTTTCTGCTGTGCATATTATGTAAATGAGCCACACACACGCAGAGACAGACACGTGCATGCACATACACATGTACATACACACACATGAAATGCAGGCACAGGTACAAGCACAGATATATGCACATACGCACGCACACGCACACATACATACACTCGTACATACACAGACATGCACATTCACACACACACATACACACACATACACACACATTAACACACACGTGCACATTCACACACGCGCACATGCACACACACAGACACACGCACATGCACACACACAGACACAAGCACATGCACACACAGACACACATGCACATGCACACACAGACACACATGCACATGCACATGCACACTGACACAGACAGACACACACTGACACAAACAGACACACACACACTGACACAAACAGACACACACACACTGACACAAACAGACACACACACACTGACACAGACAGACACACACACTGACACAGACAGACACACACACTGACACAGACAGACACACACACTGAGACAGACAGACACACACACTGAGACAGACAGACACACACACTGAGACAGACAGACACACACACTGACACAGACAGACACACACACTGAGACAGACAGACACACACTGAGACAGACAGACACACACACTGAGACAGACAGACACACACACTGAGACAGACAGACACACACACTGAGACAGACAGACACACACACTGAGACAGACAGACACACACACTGAGACAGACACACACAACACTGAGACAGACAGACACACACACTGAGACAGACAGACACACACACTGAGACAGACAGACACACACACTGAGACAGACAGACACACACACTGAGACAGACAGACACACACTGAGACAGACAGACACACACACTGAGACAGACAGACACACACACTGAGACAGACAGACACACACACTGAGACAGACAGACACACACACACTGAGACAGACAGACACACACACACACTGAGACAGACACCACACACTGAGACAGACACACACACACACACTGAGACAGACACACACACACACACTGAGACAGACACACACACACACACACTGAGACAGACACACACACACACACTGAGACAGACACACACACACACACTGAGACAGACACACACACACACACTGAGACAGACACACACACACACACTGAGACAGACACACACACACCACAGACACACACACACACACTGAGACAGACACACACACACACACTGAGACAGACACACACACACACACTGAGACAGACACAC